AAGATCAAATTAACTTTCATTTTTAGCTATCACCAAATTATAACTCCACTGGCATAATAAATATTATAAATGTTAATACCCTCGTGGAGATTCATTTTTAAAATCTTTTTGGAGGAATGATACAAATAGATAAGGGATAAGAAGCCATACACCGGATATAAACAATCCGACTATTATATATATTTTTGTCTGATCCAATCACGTGGGAGGGGGGATCAAAAAAAATGTAAAATAATGTATAATTTTTAATTATTGTGAGGGTTTTTTTCTATCCGCTGTATTTTTATCCGAGATATTCTACTATTAAATCAGAAGAAGATTATATCTTAGGGTTGATTTAATCCCCAACCCCCCCCCCTCCCAGAAATGGGTTAACTAATGCATTCATTCATCCGTGAATGAATGAATGATCTTAAAATTTAAATCGATATTTTTTTTCTCTGTACTCTTAATCCCTCCCCCCCCCTCCCCCTACGTTTACCTTTCTATAATTTTATTCATAAAACAAAAAAATAAATTATAATAATAATACATTAATAAAATACAAACATCAAACATTTTTATTTAAATTTTTTTCTTTTTTCAAAAAATCTTCTTATTTCTTAACTAAAATAGATTCCAGGTTAAATCCTTAGTTTTTCACTTGTTTTTTAAAAAATAAAATAGAGTTAAGCAGGGTATATATATATTTTAAAAAAAATTATGTATTTTGAATTTAATAAAAGGAATTTATATTATAATGTTTTTAAAGCTATCCCCAACCCCCCCCCCATCTCCTTCCCCAAACTTTTTTTTAAAAAATGGAGTTGAAATTAAACCCTCCCATATCCCATATCAGACCTTAAAGGAGATGATCCAATAGAATTAGGGGATGAAGATTTGCACTTAATAGAAAGGTAAGGGGGGAGTCGAAATTAAACCCTCCCATATCCCATATCAGGCCTTAAAGGAGATGATCCAATAGAATTAGGGGATGAAAATTTGCACTTAATAGAAACGTAAGGGGGGGGGGGTTGCTCATTTTTGTGGAAAGCCCTATATTTGTTGTGGTGCAAAGGCCAATAATACAATGGCCTCGTGCAAATTGGTAAAATTACAGTTTGTCGTTAGCAATCATTTAAGTTTGCTTTTTCAATACCTTTCTTTAATTCTTCGCTTTATAATATTATATATAAAATGTAATAATAAATAACTTACTGATGATCATAAAAAGGAATATTTAGGAAATTAAAGAAATAAGAAGGCAGACGATATAAAAAAGAATATTTAGGCAATTAAAGAAATAAGAAGGCAGACGATAATATAATTTTCAAAGACAAATTTTCTTTTTTTTAAAAAATGCTTATTTAAAATTTAGAATCGACGGATATTAATAAAAAGGCAACCTCGATTTAAACAAGTGATGCGGTTACGTTTTTTTTAAATTAAAAAATTAAGGCAAATCGTAAACTTTCAAAAAAAGGTTCCCGCATGTATAGAGGTACCCCCTTTCCCCAATATTAATATCGACATCTTTTAATTTACAATAGTTAAGGGCTTTGTTTATTAAGCGGATGGGTTGCTAGGGGGGGGGGGGGTAGTTTGAGAATTATTTACAGTTATTATTTAATAAATAATAAAACAATTTAAAGCATAAAAAAACAATTAGAATTAAAGATTAAAAAGAAGAAAAAAAACTTTAAAAATAATATTTTAAGAAATCATATTAATCTCGATATTGTAATTCTATTTTTTCTTTCCATTCTTTAATTCTCTTTTCCAAATTCATACATGTACTTTTAAATTACATTCAATTCTCTAACTTAGGTGTCTCCGTATGCCAATCAATCCTTAGCAATCCACCTAGAAAATAATTAGCTTATTAACAATGCACGTTTATAAAACGAAATCAATTGGCACCAATTCCGATCAACGTGTCCCTTCAATTCATCATTTCAATCTCATGCCACTTTCGCCATTTCTATCTCAGCCTGAGTAGTTAAATTTAGAGCAAAAAATGGCTAATATTACATAATTTTAGTGGAGGAGAGGGGAAGGGACACGACCATTTAGGGTAGGGGGTGAGCTCTTCATAAGCCCTATCGACGATATAGTTTATAGGCATTCTCCTATCTTATTATAAAAAGGTACATTCATTGTCATTTAATTGAATTATTCCCAACTCTGGCTATATTGGCAAACCGTTACCTAGAAAATTATCATCTGCCACAGTGATATCAGACGAATTGTAGAAGTCCTTATTGAATTAGCAAGTTATCTTTTTGCGGTAAATCCATTCTATAGCACGTGCTCAGCGGAAACTTGGGGTTACGCTAATAGTGGAAAATTTTTACGCTAATTATTAAAAAAAAAGACCCTCCATAAACACAAATAAATAGAATCTTTAAAAAAAAATATATATATATAAAACTTGAATTTATATCATTATTTTTCATTGTTTAAAAAGTGACATCATATGTCATAAAAAATAAGAAGGTATATAACAATTACCGAAATAAAAAAAATATTATTTTTTATACAATACGATACTTATAAAACACGACGTTTCAGAAAGAAAGAAAAAAAATAGATTTTGTAGACAATGACTTATTGTTCTTATTTTTACCAGTGGCTGACGATGTGGAACTAAGCCAAAAATTTTAAATTCAATTATAAAATGAATCACTATGGTGAAATTCGTTAGAGAAATTAATAATTTAAAGTAATAGGGCCCACAGCGACCTATATTAAGTGACCATATCGGAATAAATTTCTTTGATTGATGGGTTTCGCTAAAATATGGTCCTAATTTTAAATCAATTTATAGGGGAAAATTACAAGACTAACGGTCAGCTGGTTTTAGAAGGTCGGTAACCGCTAGAAAGTTCGCTGAAAAATTGACAGGTATAAAAAAAAGAATTATATTGCTGTCGCGTGGTGTTTTTTAATAAAAATAAAATCATGATTATTTTCCAATAAAAATCAAAATCGTATATTTTCCAAAAAAAATCATGATTTTATATAAATTTTTAAATAGCACTTATTGTTATTAATCAATTCAAGACAATATAGTGTACAATATAAAGTTGAAATAAAAGAAATAAAAAATGAATGAAGCAGGTGAAGGTTACAAGATTTTAATTACATAAAAAAATATAATATAACTTTAAAAAAAATATATATAAGACATTTGAAAAGAATATTCTAAGGTTTGGGACATTTTAGGGGGGGGGGGGGGGAGGGGGTATAAAAAAATATTTAAAAATATAATTTTAAGTTCGACAGCGATAATAGAAGTAACCCTTTTACGGGGAAAAAAAAATACGCTGGTCTAGGGTCGGACTAAAAAATGCGTACTCGAACTAGGGTCCGACTCGGACAAAAAGCTTTTTAAATTCGGGCTCGGGCGAAAAAATTACTTTGTAGACCTCTACTTATCCTATCAATTCAAAATATGCAAATTATTCGGAATTAAGGCAACTTTGGTGAGCGGATGACATAAATTTTAATGTGCAAATTGCTTGAAATATCCGAATTTTTAAGCGAATTACAATGCTCAATCTTAACTGATCCGATCTCCCTAAACCTTACGTCCCATTCAAGACTCTAAACCTCTCAGGTGATAAAAATATTAAAAAATTAATTCAATTACTAACTACGTGTTTACTAGAAGTTGGCCTGGCGCAAAGCTGGCCAGCTGATTATTGGGCAACTTATGTTAAAACAAATTATGAGCTGGGCCGAGCTGAGCAAAAAATTCTTCTTAAAAAAAGCTGGATTGGGCTGCAACCGATCTTTATTGTTCACTATGATGTTTCATTCACAATGTGAAATTTCAATGACCCTATAATCTTAATGAGTCCTTATTTAGTAAAAAAAATATAAAGATTTTATATCCTATATATGCATCTATATCTAACATACATTATTTTTAAATAATCTGTATCCAGATCCTTTTTTAAGCACCTGCCAAACTCTAGGTGCACCCTTAAATTTTAAATTTATTTAAAGCTAGGATAATTTAATTATAATATTCTATCCTATCATAATTTGAATAAAGTGTAATAATCCGAGACCCGCAGTCAAGGTTTGGTTTTCCCCATTTTTGTGCCACTTCCTCAGCAACCTAAAATATAAATTTTAAAACTAAGAGCCAGGCTAAGTTCTTTTGAAGGTAAATTTAAATTATATAAAATATAATAAACTATTTAATACATTTCCTTCTTTCAATTTCCCTTTGACTTTCTTTTTATTATAAAATATAGCTATGATTATTCAAAATGATAAAATATTAAAAATCACAAAAAGGCTGGGCTATAAAATGATCAAGTCTTAAAAAAATTTAACCACAAAAAAACTAGGTTGCAATGCAAACAATCAATGAATCCATAGATATGGAATATTTCAATCATCTAAATAATCTCATTTTTATAATACATTTTACTTTTTAAATCTTTAATTAATGTTAAGTACTACAGGTATAATATGGATAAATAATATTGTAGATAGTTTATGTTAAATAAATAAAAGCTTTCTTTCACTTTCCTTTGTTTTTTCTTCTGGTGCAAATTTTTTTTAAATCTTGCAAAATTGATTACTTGAATATGTTTTGATTATTTTTAATAAAATTAAATATTTCAAATTGTGCTATAAAAAGGGGAGTTGTGATAAAAGCTTATATATAAAAATGAGTTGAAAATATATTTCCAGTAAAGGTTAAATATTTTGTTTATAAATATGTTACTATTCAAAATGTTAGGAGAAATATTTAATTTGGTTTACTTTCTATCTGGCTAACAAAAATAAGAATTTTTTTATAAATTTCATAAGGAAAGATAATTAATTTGAAATCAAAGTTTATGATGATTATATTTATCCAATCAAACCTCAGGTTAATTAATAAAACAAAATATGTAATTATTAAAATTTCTAAAATAATATAATGAATTTCTAAAATAGTGGCCTAATGAACAAAAAATATTTTATAACTTGAGCTAAATATAAAAAATCATACAACATACCTTTTTCAACAAATTTCATAGTGATATTATTTTTATCTTTATTGATGTATCTAAGGTATTCCATCACATCAGATTTTCTATAGCCACAAATATTTTGATTTTCAATTTCTAATATTATATCCCCTTGTCTGATTCCCAAAAAATTAAAACTCGAATAAGAATCAATAAGGGGAGCCACGGATTCTGACCCAAAAAGAATAAATTGTCCACATTCAGCTCCTCCATAAAATGGAATGATTTTATTATCCTCGCTATAAATCGTTTTACAAATATTTGTTTCTTTGCAAGCACAATTAAAAAGAGAATTTTTATTGAATTGAATTTCACCAGGCATCGTATTATAATATGATAATATTAGTATTGATAATAACCTGCATTATAAAATAAGCAAATTTAAAAATCCCAGGTAAATGATGGAGAAATATTCGCTTCGCGAGGTAACTCTAATTAAATAAATTCTAGAATTTAAGTTTTTAATAACAAGATATAAAATTTAGTAATCTACTACTAAACGATTATATATATAAAAGTTATTTTAAAAAGGAGTAAAAATATTGAAGGGAAGCTTGTAAATTTTTCTTCAATTTTATACATTATGATATTTTTTTAAATTTAATAAAAGTAAATCTTGTGCTTTTTATACATATTTTTCGTGATATTCAAAGATTTTTGGCATATAGTATGGGCGAAAGAAATCTTAAATAAATATATCTTCGAACATTTTTATTTCAAATTCGGAATAAGACATAGGCCTGATGTATAAACAAAATATATAAGTTTTGACTATGATATAATTTAAAAAAATATTTTTTTAAATTATTTTAATTAAAGGCATATTTCTAATGTCTATTAGGCCAAAAATTAAAGAGGATTTTTAGAAAATGTAATTTAAATACAATTTTAAATATTTTGTGTTAAGAATTTTAAATGGATATTATGCCTATTTTCCAAGTCTTTGACAAAGGTATAGTTAAACTAATATCTTTCATAATATTCAATTCAGAATTAAAATTGATTATGATCAATACTTTATTTCATTTTTCTGATAAACCATATTCATAATTTTGATTTTGTATGATGATTAAGATGATATTACATTTATCTAATTTAAATGATGAATTATGATCGCGATATTAAAATATATGTGGAATTAAGAGTACTAAAATATGTAATTCAGAGTACTCTTGCTCAAGAATATGCAAGAAATCAAGTGGGTTCTTTACAATTGAAATGAGAGGTGCAAGAAAATACTTGGGAACAACGAATTTGTTATGCTTCAACTTGCCATTGAAGATCCGTAAGGAGACGCCTTTCAGAAATCTCATCAATAGACTTGATTACCTTATTCAAAAATATTATCGTTAAAACAATTTATCAACTTAAACCGAGGATATGGATGCTTGCTTTATAAAATATTTTATGCGTGATTAAATTAGATATATTCAACACAACAGGATCTAATCAATAGATAATTTGTTTATTTTTTTAAAAGTATTTAAATAATATTTCTATATTGTCATTCAAACCGAATATTGCTATAAAAATTGATATATCACGTTCCATGCAACTTTCAGAGTAAAGCCCATTTTTAAAAGTTCAATCTCGAGGTTGAAGTTGTCCTTTTGGCTTAGTCTAAGTATTTTTTAATATTTTATTTACTCTGTGTTTAAAAAAATTAAGTTTAAAAAAATTAAATTGAAAAAAAGAAAATCTAGATCTTGCTTAAAAAAGAGAAGAAGAAGAGAAGAGAAGAGAAGAGAAGAGAAGAGAAGAGAAGAGAAGAGAAGAGAAGAGAAGAGAAGAAGAAGAGAAGAGAAGAGAAGAGAAGAGAAGAGAAGAGAAGAGAAGAGAAGAGAAGAGAAGAGAAGAGAAGAGAAGAGAAGAGAAGAGAAGAGAAGAGAAGAGAAGAGAAGAGAAGAGAAGAGAAGAGAAGAGAAGAGAAGAGAAGAAATAAAATAAAATAAAAACATAGCCAATTCACCTTATTTATGAAATAGGTAATGAAGGGATTTAGCATAGAAATAAAAATCAGAAGTATCTTTATTAAATCAAACAACTGTAAAATACCCAAAACATAATTTTTATAAGTAAAAATGATTCTCGTTTTACAAATAATATATCTTTATATAAACTATAATTTAATTAATGATATGCATAGTATGCTTAATCACTTAAGAAGACAAATATTAATATATCAATTTACCATATCAACAAGAAAATGTATTAACTTTTACGATTATCGATAATTTAAATATTTGATTTGCTGAGTGTCAATATACAAACCAAACATATATTAAAGATAATATAATATTATTTTAAAAAAAGACCATTTAAATATAACGTAATCAATATCTCGTCAGGTAAGACTCTCAATGACCTCCTAACACAAAAAACTAAATAATTATTTAAATTGTATTTTAACTTTCTACCTTACATCCAATTTTTTTTAAACTTTACTTTACTATAATATAGGAAGGGATAAATAGGAAAAAAGAGCCACAGAATATTGACTTTAAATCTTCATAATTCTAAAAAATACTTTTAGTTTGATGGCATTCATTATTTTGATAATACTCTAGTCATTCCTTAAGACTTCTGCTTAAATCAATTCAAACAAAAATAGGAAGAAATTTTGGCTATTGTTATGATCTTAATTTAAATCAATAAAGAAGCAATCTTATATTTTTTCAGGAGCCTACTTTTTAGGAGTTTTTTTTATATTAATTGTTGTTTAGAAATTCAAAGATCAATCTTAATTTGAAAGGCTTATTAGAATATTGGAAAAAAAAATGATATATAGAAATGTTCCGGTTTAAGGGTTCGAAGAATTGCGTAATCAACATTTTATAATTTTTTTAAAAAAATCTCATCATCGATATTGGGACATTTCACTTTGCTTGAGAGAGTGGGAAAAGAATCGTGTAAAGTGAAGTTATCAACGAATAAAGAAATAATAAACATAAACCAATCATAATTGAGCAAATTTATTTTTCAGATGAAGAAGAATTGATAAATAAAAAAAAGGTCTTAACTAGACATTAAACGACTTTGTAAACTATCATAGGTTTTCTGTTAGTTGACCGCACACAAAAGCGTTTAAGTTTATGTATTAAAATTTGTTTCCTTTTCTGTCCTGAAAGAATTTTAAATGATTTTTATTAAAAATGATAAAAAATTTCAAAGTAGTTTTCAATGTATATGAGTGGTAGGAGCACTTCATTTCTAAAAGCTTTAGAGAGGATGAGGGGGGGGGGGGGTAAAAATGAGTTGCATCTTAGTAATAATTTTCACTTACACGCTGCTCATCTACGTGAAGGTATTAAATAAAAGCCGAGAATATATGAATTAAAATATATAATTATAAAAATACATATCTTTTACACAATTTCTAATTTAAATATAAAGGTTTCCTTAGAAGATTATATTATTTTGATTATTTATATATTTTCCATTATTTAAAACTGTGAATAATCATGGCAATAATCTTTAAAAAGATTAGACACGCATTATCTTTGCTTAATTAGTTCATAATGTTAATTTAACTGTATGATTATTTAGAATATATTCCTGAGGAAAAAAAATGGTCAGAAATGTTATCCTTTTAACTTTATGATACAATTTATGAGTAGCAAGTCAATAAATGGTATATTTTATATTATAATCAATTTTACATTTAACAGATAAAGATATACTATTAACATGGAAACGTATGTCTAAGGAAGTATGGTTGAATAAGGAACATTCGATGATAAGTAATTATAACATGTTTTTATTTGAATTAATTTATTTACTTTTAGATATTATGTTTGAGGAGAAAAAAAGGTACTATAAACATAAAAGAAATAAATTTGCGATAACCCAGCTGAAGTTATAATTTATTACAATTTTTAACTTAAATTTCTTATTTAACATGACTTTGAATTGGGGAACCTTGGCTTAGCATTGAATAGCTTTGCAATGAAATGCTATATTTGCTTAATTTTAATATTTTGGGTGGTTAGTTTTGAGTAGGATTGAGATGCGTCATTTGGAGCTTTGCCTCGAAATCTGTTATATGTGTATTTGAGTTATTTAATTTCACTACTTGTATTTTATCAGAATTTACGTTTAAAAATACTTAGAATTACGGGGATCCGTTATGGGGGGGGGTAAGATTTTATTTTACTTTAATCCTTTATGCTTTGGGTTAATTATCTATTTTATGGATGTAATTTATCTAAGAGTTGAGAATTTTTTTGTGTTATTTATGCTAACTTGAGATCAATGTTGTTAGACTCTACTTTCAAAAATAGCTAACGATTGGTATCGCTATTTTACAAAAAAAGTAACCCGCTATAGCTAACATTGTTGGAAAAAGTAGCGCGCTAATAGCTACCTTTTACGTTTACTTTAGAATTTTTTTTTAAAACATTTTCTATGTATCTCTATTTCCACAAATAAAAAAATATGACTAAAATTTTAAATATTTTTAAAATATTTTTTTTCTATTGCATCTCAATAATAATAACATTTCCATACTGTCATTCCTAAGTCTAGAGCGGCGATCAGAAAGTATATGCTATGACTAAATTACAACATTAGCACTTGAGGGCAATGAAGTATTTAATATATATATTTTATATACCAATAATCACCAAAAATAATGCGTCTAAAGGATTTTTAATAGCATTTATTTTAAACCAACCATCCATAGTAGGTGGCGTTTTTGATTTGGCTAGGATCAGTCTAAAATTGTAATAGTAATAGTTCGAATAAAAATTATATAGAGAATTGGCCTGGCCAACTCCCTTTTTTATCTATTGAATTTCTCCTAAAATTGGTTAAAACGCGAAAGGATTAAAATAAGTATTATTTTTTTTAGCAAGGTTTGATAAAATTTATAAATATTTAAAATAGATGAGTGATTAATTTTAAGCATGTTTAACATCCAGATAATAATTTATAAAATATTATTATTTAAATAGATGAGTCTGAATAATAAAATAAAATGTTGATAATAGTTATTCATTAATTATTAATTTATAATATAATTCTTGAATAATATATTATAGCTAGTTGGAGTGGGCCAGAAAATCATCTTTCACATAAACTCATCTAGCTCAAAATCTATTATAGATACAGTTTTGATTCAAATTTTATTTTAAAGATTAAGGATTGGGGGAGGGGGGGGGGTGTACAAATTGATATTAAGTTTGTTTATTATATAACTTTTAAATGTTTCCTCGATGAAGCTAAATAGTCTTGTTTGATGCTAAAAAAAAACTTTCCGACACATTTTACAATAAAATTTATATTCTGTGTTAATTTTTTATTTATCGTTATTAAAATATTTAC